TATTGCTTGAAATTGGTGACCAATTTGTAACATCAGGCAACATTCAAATGGGGGAGGATTATAGGGTAAATGCAAAAATTAGCAGAGCATGCTGAGACTTTTTCAACTCATTGCACGATATAGTTGTTAAGCAAGTATATCTTCTTTAAACATAATTGGGGTATATTAAAAACTTGACAGTCTTGAAATTAGACCTGAAGACTCTCACAATACCAACCAGAAATCTATGTGAAAGGTTTTTAATTTTCATAATCTATCTACCTCAATGGCCTCAGATGCAACACATAACAGAAAAAATTTAATGAGCAAACTTGACAGAAAACAAGAAAGCAAATTACAGTAATATCCAAAATTCACTTTACAGATTTGAAAATATACCCCTCCTGTTTGAAATTGTGTGAAAATTTATATGAGTAGTAGGATCTTATATCTGATTTATTTGTTTGAGACATCCTCCTAAGTCAGTAAACTAGCTTTCCAAAGATAATTGCACCCTCAGTGCTTGCTAAGAGGGTAAATTAAGATCTTATGATAAACTTTAAACATATTGTGTGTAAGAAGACTTTTGTCTGCAATTAAATATGCATGTTACCCAGCATATCGTAATCAACACCTCTTTGGATTTGAATTTACCTTGAACCCTTTAAAAATTAATTTCTTGATTTCTCTTTAGGTTGACTATTTTTTCACAATGTTATCCATGTGAGTTTTACCAAATCAAATCATACTTGAATGTAACCAAATGTAGTACTAACAGACAGCACTATGTTAGGGGTTGGAAAATCTGATGAAAATAGTCTCGTTCATTGTTGCTTTGTGGTTACACCATCTCTAAAAGCAGTCCAAGTCACAACCATTACTTGGTATAACTATCCTTTACACTGTTGAACTCCATCAAATTGCTCCTTCCCGCAGATGAAAAGGGTTGATCACAAACCACGATCACATGTGAGATTTTGTGATCACACTCTGGCATTTGATTACTGAGGTAAACAGAACGTGAAGGATGTTTGGGTTATCTTTAACCTCTAATTCAGCAATTAATTTTTTCACTCATCTCAAGGTGCACCCGGATTTTGAGCCTGTTTTTATGCATTTTGGGTCTTTGATTCACTTGGAACCTCAAGTGCTGCAAGACACGTACATGTGTACATGTAATTACATTGTACTTAAAAGTTCGGTAAACCTTATCTTACGTTCAACAGAATTTGGTTGCTCACATTTAAACATCATCAGTTCACTAAACTAAATAGATATATTATACGGGATGTAGAAGTTTTCCACCCCTAAGAAATACTATCTTGCAAGTTCTACCTGAATGTAAACTAGGCCCAGATGGAAGAATTGGATAACAGTTTACTGAACTTTAGGTACACCTTTCTTACAGTCATCAACAGTTTTAAACTTACCTATGACTTGCACTTGAATTGCACGTTTCCAAGTAGTAGCAGTGGAGTCAATTAACTCACACCTAAATTCTCCCAAAGACTTATCGTCAGCAACAGTCACAGGAGAGATAAACAGAGAAGCTCTTCCTGAGGTTGAGCTTACATTGAACCGTTTCTGAAATTGAGCTGTAAGAGGACCAGCTGAACCATCCCCTTGAATAATGAATATACGATCACTGTTGAATTTTATGGCACCAAAAACTAGACCTTGCGTCAGACTGTAGTTCCAGTTCAGCATGACAGAAGATCCGTCATAAACCTGTATAATGCCAGGAGGAAGTAATTCAGCTGGATCTGATGTTGTCCAAGCGGGAGTAGGTTCATGCCATGTCACACTTCCGCCATCTGAAGGAGAATATTTTAGATCGCAGTTATATTTATAACAATTCATGCTTACGACTTCATAAAACGAGGTACAGCTTTCCCATGATTTTGAATTTAAACACCGTATACAGTTCGAAAGGCACCTTAATCTGCTGGTGTCAACATAAAAATCACCTTAATAAAGTACATGATAAGCTGAATCGATCGAGTTCTGAAATGAAAGAAGAAAATAAACACTGAAAATATTAGAACAAAACCCCAGATAAATACATTACCTGTTGGTTGGGGTATGAGAAAAATCCACACAAAGATATGTTTCATATGACAAATCATTTTACATAACTCCTTGTTTCCCAAAGGATGAGTGCCACAAATATACGCGGATGAGGAACAGATTCCTCTTCATATAAAGTAAACTAACGTGAGAACTGATTGGTTATTGAATGACGATTGCGTTTTAGACGGAGGTTCTGATTGGTTTAGAGGTATTGGGCAAAATTCTGGAATGAAAGAACGAACGATTCCAGTGGAGCAGAGCGGAGAGCCCTCTGCTATCCATAAGATCATTTGGACTCGTTAGGTCTTTCATTCCAGACTGCCCAGCACCTCTAAACCAATTAGAACCTCCGTCTAAAACGTAATCATCATTCAACAACCACCTATCGAGAGAAATTTGTTCCGTGTTAGGCGTTCATATGTGGCGACGATGTCTCCAAGTTAGGTTCAGCAAAGTACTCATCTTTGGAAATATGAACCTACTCCCGCTAGGACAACATCAGATCCAGCTGAAGCACTCCCCCCTGGTATTGTACAGGTTTATGAAGGATCTTCCGTCACACTAAACTGGAGCTACAGTCTGACGCCAGGTCTAGGTTTTGGTGCCATAAGATTCAACAGTGATAGTGTAGTCATTATTCAAGGGGATGGTTCAGCTGGTCCTCTTACAGCTCAATTTCAGAAAC